ATGAAATAAATATGGTTGGGGAACCCTTAACCCCCATCGACCTTCCTTGGTGGACCCTAAAAAGTCACTAAGGATGTGTGGATTCTTTACCAAAAAAAAAAGTGAAAAGTATAGGGCCAAGAATAGTGAAACGACATTTGCATCCAACGGTTCAACTGGCTCCACCTGACACCATCTCGTCCATCCAATTAAAACAAACTAGAATCGCATTTGAAGGACATGACTTTGCAACAAGTGGGGGCAAAAATCGGGTCACAAACTTGGGCTCAATTGTTGGGTTCCATCATTGGGCCACTAAAAAAAGGTGTTAAGCATTTTATTTAACAGGGTTCTTTTCCAAGATCATTAAATCACCATCAATTAAACATGGAAAATTCAATTTGCAAAGGGCTTGTGACTTCCAGAAATTTTCGAAACCACCATTATAACTCTTTACTGGCTTGAAATATATCTGTACCATACTATTGTAGCTAGATTTAGCAATGCTCATTGCAGATCTGGTATAATTCCAACTATGAGGACATATTTAGCATGTAGAAATTGGACAGCACAAAGAAGTATATTTCTGGTATATATTTTCAGCTAATACACATGATTCCAGCTAATATTCATAGTAGCATTTGAATAATTCGTCTCTATCTCTTGATAAATTCATTTGCATAACACAAATGATATTCATATTCTATCCTCATTAGAAATTCCTCAATATTTCTTCTCATAGTAAATAAATACTCGTTGATATTGGTTTCCAACGGACAGAACCTTGACATAAGATACCACAACTTTCTTTTATATGGTGATGGTCATGATGGAGGAAGCACGTGACTTGAGATTTTGATAGTACTTGTAACTCAAGCCAAGATCTCAAGTTGCGGTTCTTGGCTTTTTTTCCATAAAAAGTTGAGTTTATTTATGTTGCCATCTACTCTTTTTGGAAGTGGTGAAGCACTTTATATTGCTACCATTACGAGTTGCTTCCCCATAGTCGTGTAGCTTATATATGCTGCAAAGAGAATGGGAATTGTGTATTAGCTTCCCAAAAACTACCATATTCCACCGTATACATTCAATAAAGTAATCAAACATTACTTAAAAGCATAATTCTTAAGCAAATTAATATAATCAAATATAAGTGTAAACGTTAAATTCTTTTACCAATAGTAGCTCAAAAATCAATTCATTGAAATAAAGGGAGTTCATTAACAATTTGACGATTTAATCAACTAGTCTTTACAAACAGATGAAATGATTTTACAAAGTCAATGAATACTATACACCATATTCCAAAATTACTCGTGCCAGAACCTGATTTACAAAGGAAAAGAAAGTCAGTTGTTTCATTTTCATCATTGGAAATCATATTAATGTATAAGAGACGTACCTTTGAAAACGGATCGACATAATGAGTTTAATGAAAAATAGCAATTCCGGGGAGCTATACTTCCTATGCCACCCATACCAACAACTAGGTTTCTTCCAAATTTTACTTTTTCTACACCTCCATTCTTCGTTATATTTTCCAAACCGAGCCCGCGATCACTCTTATCAAAACAAAACTGAAAATTTCCGATCTAGAATTAGCAAATTGCCGGACCTCTTGACAAAGAAAAATTCTTGGACCATTTATCTTGTACAAAAGGGGAAACGAACTAAGATCATAAACCAGATCTGCTGTCTGGTTGGTAGCAAAAAAATAGCAATTCTTGTTGTTTGAAGTTGTAAGCTTTTGGAACATTGAAGTCAACTATTAACTCGTTATATATTATGAGCGATGAGTACGTCAAAGGAACAAGTTGTATAGTGAGAATACTATGTATAACAATATTTATGTATAGGTTGGTGTTCAATGAATCAAGATAAAAACGTGTGGGGTTGACTTCAACTGAATTTAAAGGAAGGGCAATGAGTACTTATAATTTGGGCGAGTGGGGGAGGTTCAATGAATTCTGATATAGAATTTCTTGCAGTTAGTTTGAGAAACATGTAATTGTAAGATAACTTTGTTATTTGTTTCTTGATTAATCGTGTTGCTTTGCTTAAAAGTTACTTTTATAAAATTAATTTAACTAAGTATTGTGACAAAGAAGATTGGCTCACTTTTAAAATAAGATGACTAAATTAGCTGCAAGTCGTGCTGCTGCGCTTGATGTTGAGTTGGAACAGTGGCAGATTTAGAAATTTTAGGTTTTTAGGTTTAAAAGAGGACAAGTCTTTCATAGTTAGTCATGCCTCCAAATTCCATTAGTTAGGTAAAGAATTTCATGGTGAATGATAAGAGTATTTTACACATTTATTTAAGTTCTTAAAATAATTGAATATTGATAATTTGAGCGAAATTCTACTTTGTTTTTTTATATTATTTTGTATATAAAAATCCCAACTTGGAGATGGATTAAGCAAAAAGGAAGATTTGGGAGCTTAATTGAGAAAAGACGAAATTTTATGAAGTCTGGAAGTGCAAGGACTTGATTGGAAGAGCTTTGGAAGTTAATTGAAGAATTTTGCGAAGTGAGGATTAAAATTAAACTTTTGAAACTTCAAGGGTCAAATTGAACAAATCAAAACTTGAAGGACTAATCTAAACATGATAAAAGTTGGAGGATGAAAGTAGATAGACTAAGAAGATGAGGATTAATTTTGAATGTGTTTGAAAGATAAGGAGATAGAGTAAAAATAACTATCGTCTTGATGCTACCCAAGCTAGAGGGAGGTGAGTTCCATAGTGCAACTGCAAGAGTCGAGTTATTGGGAGCCTCGCATGGTTGTTTGAGCAAGAGGTGCGTTGAACAACTGATGTCAGAATCTGATTAGAATTTGGAAAGTCAATTTTTATAAATATGGGACATCTTCGGTCCATTCTTGAAGATTTTTGTAGGGACAAATGTAAAGAGGGAGAGGCAAACTAAAAAATTCTCATAGGTTCATAATTCACTCCATATTCGTGAATCAGAAGATTATTAGGAGATAAAACATAAGAATTTTATCATCGTTAAGGAAGTAATTATTTGACTTTTCCTCAGGGTCAAATTAAGGAGAAATATTAAGATCATCCAACAAAAGAAAAAAACTACAGAGAACTCTCAGAAGCAAATAATCTCAATTTTCACTGTCGAAATCTAGCTCATTAAAAATCTCTGGATTACTGAGGTCACAAGTTGAAAAATTTTGGCACTGTAGAGCAGATTTTTTAAGGCAACGATCACAAACTAAGGTGATAATAAAAATAGCAAACTGAGCTTGGTGATCATCCCGAAGTAGGATTGAACTTTTTCGAAGTTACAATTGGTAGCTGATAAATACAGTAGCTGATAAAATTGTATTATTGCTGGATCTTCCCATTTTTGAATTGATGAAATAGTTCTGGCTGAAATTGAAAAGATCCATTGGCCTATATACTATGATATTGAAAAGATCCATTGGCAAGTAAATTGTAAGTTGCTGTGACAGAAAATGAAAAGATTCATTGTTACTTGTGATCTATTTTATGTGATATGTTAACCTTTTAGATTTGTCCCTGTGGACTTCGATTTGTTACCTATGTAATATGACTTGTGACCTATAACATATAAACTGTGACTTGTAAACTTGAATCTATGATCTGTTATCAAGGCACAAAGACATGTGACATCTGATCCGTGACCAGTTAATATTGATATGTGATATGTTGACATTAATCTATGACTTAGACAATATGAACTGTGAAGTGTGAAATTAATGATCCGTGACTGGTTCTATTTTATTTATGACCTATGGACACTAATTTGTGACCTATGCACAATGACACAAGACCTGTGATCAATTTATGAGTCACAGTTACAAGTTTAGTCGCAATCTCATTTTTTTTTAAGAATAATATCTATGATCAGTGAACTATGACTTATGCAAAATAACATGTTAACTGTAACATATGCACAATGACATGTGACTTGTAAACAATTACTTGTGACTTGTGAACATAAATCAGTGGCTTGTAATTAGACCTCTTTAAACTCGTGAACATTGATTTGTTACCTTTGCACTATGACATGTACCTGTAACCTTGTGAAATGTGACATGTGAACTTGAATTTGCAAAATGACATGTTATCAGACTATCAGTTCACAGAGACTTGTGGTATCTAATCTATGATCGGATTATTTTGATCCATGACATGTTGCAAACGAACATGTGACTAGTACCATTTAAAAAATTCTAACAACTTATCTATACTAATGACAACCAATAAAAATCACCCCAAGCATCGATTATGTAGCAAATTGGAAACCACCTCAAAACCAAGGTGACCGCTGTTGTAGCAACAATCTAAGCACCAGTATTGGGCTTAGATCATCATTGTTCGTGATTATGAGCACCTACTTCGGCGCTATGCCAACGCTCACAGCTACGAGCAGCATCATCGTTGTGGGCATTGGTAATGAAGAGAGAACGAAGAGAATAGAGAAAGAAAGAAGAAGAAGAAATTGAATATGAGTTTGGAGTGAAATGGGGGGTGTGGTGAGTATGTAGATTAATTTAATTTTATTATATTATTATTTAAAATTAAAAAATTGAATTATCACCTAATTTTTGTACAAAAAACTTTTAAATCTTATTTTTGAAACTGGAAATTAAAAAGCAGGCCTGGTGTAATTTGCACTTCAAATATTCAAGTTTTATTTTTACTCTTATTCAATTATTTTGGAAATTCGGGTGAGATATCCTTATCTGATTATATGTTCTTGCTATCAAATCATGATAGACTAACGTTTTTAGGCTAGAATTATAAAAAATCTTGTTAACTATTTGATTAATTAATTGTTCCTTTTAGTTCAATTCTTGTTATTATTAATTGTTTATTATTTATTCTATTTTGTTTCGATGATTGACCATGATTAGAACAAGTTTGTTATTTATATAGCTTTGATAGGATTCAGTATAAATTGCCACGCGATAATAAACAACACTAGGTTGTAAGGATTTTTTAATTAAAGATGGACTTGTATGTGTAAATAATTGTGTGTTAAATTATAGGCTATCGAATTCGGTTGAGCCCAATTAAAGTGATCTAATAATGCTTCGGTTTTGGACTTTAATGTATCCAGTTAAAATATGAGTTTACATATGTGTAGAAATCGGGCCAAAATCCTAATTTTATGATGGGCCGAATTAGGTCAAAGGGCATCCCTATATAAATAGGTTATGGTCCCCAGATCACATGCAATGTATTATTCATTCTCTACTGCATCCTATCACAGAGAGGAAAAGGAGACTGCGTGTAGATTTGGAAGACCATACCGCGAAATTCATATTGCATTAACCATGTCTGATTCAGGTATGCTTTCGCTTTAACTCTTGTATTTCTTGATAATTTAACATGAAAGATCCGGTAATTTAAAGAACTAAATTATACAACAAATGGTACCAGAGCCTCTTCATGTTGAATCATTGAGAATCAAAAATTTTAGTTTGGTTCTTGCAATATTTTATAAAGTTTTCAGATTTGACAATTTAAAATATATATTTTGTTAAATTCGAAAATTTTTGCGGCATAGTTTTTGTTATTTTCGAAATTCGGATTAATTGGTTGAGAAAATTTAGATTTGGAATTCAGATTTTTGGATTCAAATTTTGGTACAGATTTAAAAAAAAAAATTTGAATTTCGCCGGCAGCCCTGCAGCGGGCAGCGCCGCTGCAAGCACTATAGCATGTGCTGCTGTTGCAGCAGCGCACTGCAGCGGGCAGCGCCAGTGAGCGCCCACCGACGCTACCTATGGCGCTGGCGAGCGCTAAGGAGAGAAGGAGAATAATTTTTTTTTTTTTTGTTTCAGTTTCTGCGATTTCTTTGGGGGCGGGGGCTTCCACTGTAAATTAGATAAGTTGAGGCCCCTGATTCCAGTTAGGGTTATAAAATTAAGGTTTCAGTCCCTAACCTTTAAGTTATAATAAGTTTTGGGCCTTTAAGTTTCGAATTTAATAATTCAGTCCCTAAAGTTTTAAAATTAATTAATTCAGGCCATTAAAGTTCTGAATTTATAATTAAAGCCCTCAAAATTTAATTATTAATTCAAATTGGCCCCCTAAGTTCATAATTAATTCAAATTGACCCCTAAAGTTTCAAATTTTTAAAACTTTGTTCCCTAAAGTTTTGAATTGGTCATTTTTGGCCCCTAAAGTTTTAAAATTTGTTCTAATTGATCCTCTAAAGTATTGAATTAATTAATTATGGTCCATAATGTTTCAAGTTTATTAGTTTCAACCCCTAAAGTTTGGAATTAATTAATTTTGCCCCCTTAAAGTTTTGAATTATTAATCCTAAGGCCCCTAAAGTTTAAAACTAATCAAAACATGCAAAATTGGTGATTCTCTTTCTCAAATTTTGGTATTAAAGACTTTTTTAAGAGATATAATATTCGAAAGTTAGAGTATTGAAGCAACATATTGCCAAAGCAACCTCTCTTGTAAAAATTGACTAACTTAGAATGTTAAAAAGTGTATGTGCATGTGTTATTCATGGAAATATTGGTCGGCCCAAAGGAAGGTCAATATTTAGCCGAATACACGTGTACCTGTGGTAATAAACGTGTGACGATTATTTGATTTAATGTATGATCAATAAATCGGTCCAAAGAAAGATTTATTGATTGACATGTTGTTTTATCGTCAATGTTTGATCACTACGCCAAGAGTACGGCTTACAAGTCAATATCTCTGTCCAAAGATTGGATATTGATGTTGTGCCTGGTATCTTGTGATGGGCCCTACCACTATTTGAGATTATTATTATTTGCAT